CAGGGCACATGCCCGGTTGCAAGCTTGATCCTCACCCAGCAGGGGGCGTGCAGGAGGCAGCCGATCAATGACTCTCTCATCATTGATGTTTCTCTCTCTCTCCCTCTCCCTTTCTCTCTCTGAAATCAATAAAGATTTTTTTTTTTTTTTTAAAGAAATTTGTGAAACTAAATGTTTCATTACAGGCTGTGTTGAGTGCTAAGCAGAAGAGTTACAGGAGCTTAGGGTATAAAAATAGTGAATATACTCCAGCCTGGAAGCCATAGAGGCTTTCCTAAGAAGAAATATTTGAGCCCTAGCCAGTTTGGCTCAGTGGTTAGAGCGTAGGCATGTGGATTGAAGGGTCCCGGGTTCGATTCTGGTCAAGGGCATGTACCTCTGTTGCTGGTTCAATCCTTAGCCCTGGTAGGGGTGCGTGAGGGAGACAACCAATCAACCTGTCTCTGTCACATCAATGTTTCTCTCTCTGTCTCTCTCTCCTCCCCTTCCACTCTCTCTGAAAAAGCAATGGGAAAAATGTCCTCCAGTGAGGATTAAACAAAAGTAAAAAAGAAAACAATGAGTTGAGATTCCAAAATTGAGTAGACATCAGCTGGGCAAAGTTGGGAGGGAAGAGAGGAAATTATGCACAAAGGCCCTGTGGCTACAGGGAGAATGAAGCGTTTGAGGAACTGGAAGAGGGCCAGGGTGGCTGCAGCAGAGAGAACAAGGAGGAGGGGCACAGACCAGCCCTAGGCTTTTCCTAAGGGCAGCGGGAAACCCTGAAGGGATATGAGCTGTTTTGAGGTGAGTGTGTGTAAGCGGACGGTGGATTATACAGATTTGTGCCTCAAGATCACTCTGACTGCAGCAAGGAAGAGAGATTTCAGGGGCAAGAAAGGAAGCTGGGAGGCGAACAAGGAGGCTGTTGCAGGGATCTTGGTGACAGATGCTGAGGCTTGGGCCGGGCTAGTGACCCAGAGCTGGAGAGAAGTCAAGGGGAGCATGTGAGGTATAGATCCAGCAGGACTGGAGACCCGGAGTGGGACAGGATATTTGAATGAGTGTCTGATGAACAGGTTTGATCCCCAAGTTCCCACTTCTAAAGGTAAGGATATTGACCNGGGAACAGGTTTGATCCCCAAGTTCCCACTTCTAAAGGTAAGGATATTGACCTTGGAATAGGACACATGTGGGGCCAACCGGAAAGGATCCCCAGGGCTCTCTCCTCAGGGGGTGCCCAAGGGTCTGGCACCTCACTCAGAATGCAAACAGCTCCCCAACCTCAAACCCAGGCCCTCTAAGATTCAGCCAATAGCCCAGCCTGGTGTGGCTCAGCGGTTGAGCGTCGACCTAGGATCCAGGCGATCGGGGTTCAATTCCCCGTCAGGGCACATGCCCGGGTTGTGGGCTCGATCAATGACTCTCTCATCATTGATGTTTCTATCTCTCTCTCTCCTTTCCTCTCTCTGAAATCAATAAAGATATTTAAAAAAAAAAAAAAAGATTCAGCCAATAAATATCAACAAGGCAATGCTAGACTCGGAGTCTCGGTTTTCTCACCTCTCCATAGAGCGATGAGACGCACTGTCTCATGGAGATGCATGAATGAAATGGCCAGAGACGGAGAAGCATAGAATAGACTGACGAGTCTCAGGGAAGCGGGGGGCAGGGGGATCGGGGAACACGGTGTCATCGGGGGAAAAGAGGACATCTGTAATACTTTCAACAATAAAGACAAATTTTTTGAAAAAGAATGAAATGAGAGAGAACATGTGTAAAGTATCCACCGGGCTCTTCGTGACCCTGTAACTGTCCACTCTGGCTCACCTCTGCATCGCTGGGGCTTGTAGAGACCCCTGCTCCCTCCCACATAGGGTGAGCCTGGAAGTTTAGAAAATTCCCAAAATGATTCAGGAAGGCCACAGTAGTTGGTACCAGGTAAAGTATTTTCTTTCTCTCTTCTCAGGGATTCTAACCCATTTCTGAGCCATGACTGCCTTTGGCCATCTGGTGAAGACCATGGGCCCTTCTCAGGAGGTTGCTTTGAAATGCACAAAATAAAATGCATAGGATCACAAAGAAAAGCAACGATCTTGAGACCCATTTCTAAAAACATGAAAAAATAAATTGCAATTCAGAAATGTAGGTGCTTCTTCATGATTGCATTGAGTAAGATCTAATGTTGGTGTCATAACTACCGTAATTCCAAAACACCGATGGATGTAAACACTATTTTGAGATACATTTTGAGATAAGCTGTGACAACGGACCTGTATGGGTATCTAATAGCTAACAGCTACAGTCAAATATCTGTCACAAAATCACCAATAGTACCATTCATAGTTGTATGGTTTTGTTGTTACCTATGTTCATAACCTTAGTTAGATGTTAGCAGAAAATTGAAATAGTTTTCCCATTGGACTGCGTAGATTTTTGGAATTCCACGCCCCAGTGAAGAACCCCATGAACCAGGAAGGACAGGTCAGCAAGTTAGGCCACCGCTGGACAGACGCCCCAGGAATGTGGGATGGGGACACAGGGCCAGAGCCACCTGGCCAAGGAAGGCTCCTGGATGGAACTGTGAAACCAGTTTTGGGTTTTGATCTAGAGATAGACAGATATAGAAAGGGACACAGAGAAGTTGTAACAGGGTAAGGGAGCCATAGATTGCACACACTGGAGCTCACAGGAGCAGGTTTGACTGTTAACAGCTGCCTTTGGAGTTTGGAAATGGGATCTCAGAAATGAAGGAACTTGCCCAGAGCCAGGTAACAGGAAGTGGCAGTCCCCTCGGGTAGCTTCTGTTTGGATTCAGAGCCCCGGACACCCCAGTGGCCACAGCGGGCCTGAAGCTGGGGATGCCCCTCAAATGCAAGGGATGGAGCACAAGGTAGAAGGTAAAAGCTGGGGTTCAAAAACCAGATGGCCTGGCTTTTCCACTTATTTGTGTCACTTCGAGACATTTACTGAATGTATTCGCACATTTGTTTGTTATCTGTGAAATGGGAACAATAGTCGCTAACTCACAGAGCAACTAAATGTGATTAAAAACCATCTGAAGCACAGAGCAGAGAGCAGAGTGCTTGGCATGAGGTAGTCCTCAGGGTCCTTCTGCTGTCGTGATTAGCAGAGCTTTCTTCTTGATTCAGCAGAGTGACGGTCTGCCCCAGTCTCCCTCCTTGGGGGTTTGCCAGGGTCCAGAGGGGCTGGCCTGCCCTTAGCCCCAGGGGAGGGTGAGTAACTGGCCAGGGCAATCTTTGCAGGTGAAAAAGTGGTTGAGGAAACAGCAGCTTCAGCAGAATCAGCCTCTTGCTGGGGGAGGAGTGGGAGGGTGGGTCTCTGGTCAAGGGTCAAGGTGGCCCCACCCCTGGAGCCCAGGAGTTCATGCCTGGGGTGAGGAGAGGGGGGGTATTGGAAAGAAAATGAGCCTGGCATCTAACAGACTTGGCTCTCCAGCAAGGCTGTGCGCTGTACCACTCCGGGATGCCAATTATGTAGACGACGGGGAGAACTCTCTTGGAGTCACGCAGTCTAGACACCTTGCCTGGATCCCATGCTCCTCTGCCACTCCTAGTTCTGTGGCCCTGAGCAAGCCACTTACCCTCTCAAGCTCATCTCTAACGGGGACCGCCACACCCACCTTAATGGCTGTTGGAATTTATGTAACAAGATAAAAACAACTGGCCGGTTTGGCTCAGTGGTTAGAGTGGCAGACCCTGGACTGAAGGGTCCTGGGTTCGATTTTTGAGCAAGGGCATGTACCTCACTTGCAGGCTTGATCCCTGGCCCCTCGTCGATGTGTCTCTTTCAAATTGATGTTTCTCTCTCTCTCTCTTCCACTCTTTGAAAAGCAATGGGGGAAAAATATCCTCATATCTCAGGTGAAGATTAAAACAAAAAGCAAACAACCAGCTCCTAAGAATTGCTCCATAAACAGCAGTTTCTTCTTCCCCCAGGGACCCGCCCCAAGCTTCAGGGTTCTAAGGGCATGAGGTGCTAAGGGGTGAGCCCAGCCTGTAGCAGGTAGAGAAAAGAAGGAGGCCAGGACAATTGAGACAGGCAATTGAGACCAGTAAGAGAGGAGGGCGCCCTAGCCCCGCAGCTCTTTCCTTTGGCAAGCACAGAATTTGCAGGTAACCCTGAGGAGGCTGGGATGTGGGCACTGTTCCCCACCACCCCCTCCTCCTGGAGAATGATTCCCCCACTTTCCCTCTGTCGATGAGGGTGGGCCTCTGACATCAGGGGTTGGCTGACTTCCATTTTGCTCTAGACTTGGAGGTCTCGTCACAAAGAGGAGAGCCTCTGGTACGCAAAGACTCACAAGACTATGACTAGGGGTTTACCCCACAATTCCCTGCACAAAGCAGGAATGGGGGAATCTTTCACATATTCTATAAAATGTGAATGGCGTCTCCTGGGGTTGTGCAATGCAGTGATCATGCCAGGATTGCTAAGAGGGAGACACCACCATTCCCAAAACTTTCCAATGATTCCTTTATTCAAAAAAGATTTGCTCTGAAGCCTGTTGGGTCTTGAGCTCCAAGGACCCAGATGCCACAAAACTGACTGTCCTCACAGAGCTTATCTCCTAGCAGAGGGAACAAACACGAATTAAATCATCATACAAATAAATACTTTCTTACAGGCTCTGATAAAGCCAGGGGAAGTTAGGGTACCAGGCAGGGTCCACACTGCACCTAGGCCCCAGTCTGGCAGCCCCATCTCATCTAGGGGTCCTCATCTGGGCCTTCTGAAGTCCCCTTGGGCTGGATGGGGCCTGATATCCAAATCCAGACTCTCTAGCCCCTCCCCAAGGTCCAAGTGGTGAGAGGGCCTTGTTTTGTTTTTTATTTCCATTTTTAAATAGGACCCTGGGCTCAAAAATCAGTGACTGTGGGTTTCATGGGCTCTCTTTACATTGTTACAAATGGCCTATTTTCTCCACAGGCAGGAGGTGATGACTTTGGGATACAGGCCTGCCCCGTCCAAAAACTCTGCCTTTCTCCTCCCACCCGCAGGCAGCCTACTGTGGCTACACCATCATCCTCATGGCGATCTTCTGGAGTGTCGAGGCCCTGCCCCTGGCTGTCACCGCCTTTTTCCCCCTCATCTTGTTCCCCATGATGGGCATAATGAGTGCCAAAGAAGTAAGCCTCCCCCATCCCAGGGGGAAGGGCTCCTGGGGAGGGAGGGGTCTACTCTAGGATGTCCGTGACCCAAGAAGTTTCATCATCTGCAGGGCACACAGAAGAGGGGTCCCCGTCTCTGCTCCTCAGTCAAAGAGCACTGAAGGGGGAGTCAGCTAGAAGACAGGGGGCAGGACGTTCTAGATGTGTGTGGCTGGTGTTGAAGGTTCATTTGAAATGGGAGTGATTAGGCTTAAGCCAGGGAGGTGGAAAAGCCTGCTGACAAAGGAAAAGGGGCCTCGAAGTCCAGCTAAAGAGCTTGATTCTTCTAGTTTGGTATCCCTTCAACTTGAGTGTCCTTAAACTGGAGGGCAGGTTAAAACACAGATGGCTGGGCCCACCCCAGAGTTTCTGATTCAGTAGATCTGGGGCAGGGCCTAAGCATTTCATTTCTAGAAAGTTCCAAGAACCATTGCTCTGGTTTCTAGAAACAGCACTAAATTGTCATCTCCCAGTCCATGGCTGTAAACATGAGTGAAATCAGGCTGGATTTCCTCCCAATCAAACCTAAGGGGGGAAAGAATGAGCTTGGCAGGAAGAGAGGAAACTGGTTAATATTAAATAATGCGTAATCCAAAGACTATTTCCATTCAGTTTCAAGAGCCCAGGGACCAGCCTCTGTTTGTGGGAATATCAGTGACTGTACCCCATAAACCCAAAGACCCGGTAGGAGACCCCAGGGTCTTCCCGCCTCTCAGCTCGCCCTGCCTCCCAGGTGTGCATCCAGTACCTTTCGGACACAAATATCCTGTTCATCGGGGGGCTGCTGGTGGCCATTGCAGTTGAGCACTGGAATCTGCACAAACGCATCGCCCTCAGTGTGCTCCTCATCATCGGCGTGCGGCCTGCTCTGTGAGTTCCCACAAACCAGGACAGGACAACCCAGTGCCAGTGGCATTCTGGGCATCCAATCCCTGAAGGGACACTGGAACACCAGGGTGTCCATCTGTCCATTCCTAGGCTGATGCTGGGCTTCATGGTGGTCACGGCCTTCCTGTCCATGTGGATCAGCAACACGGCTACCACGGCCATGATGGTGCCCATTGCTCACGCCGTCCTGGAGCAGCTGCACAAGGGACCTCTGAGCAAGGACGCGGAGGATGGCAGTGACAATCCCACCTTCCAACTGGAGGAAACAAGTCCCCAGAAAGAAGTGACCAAAGTTGGTGAGAAAGATGACACTGGGCCCTGGTCCAACCCCTCCAGTCTTGGGGAGGGTCTGAGGGGACGTCCATTCCCAGGGGTGGTCATCTTGGATCCCTTAGGGAAAGAGGGAGGCAAGAAGTGCTGTGGCCAACTTGTCTTTGTTTTCCTGGGATTTTCCTGGTTTTAAAATAAAGAGTCCCATGTGCTGGGAACCTCCTCAGTCCTGACCAAGATGCTGGGTCACCCTAGCAAGCAGAGAGCTGAAATCTGGGTGGGTCATTGGGGGTCCAGGCTCCCTTTTTCCTGTGTGGTTTAGATAATCCTGTGCCCTTTTGTATGCCTCAGTTTTCCTCTCTCAAGAGATAGATTGGGCCACATGGTGTCTGAGTTCATCTTAACCTGAGACTCTAGGGAGTGCTGGGCCCTTGCAGGCCTGGAGGCAGCCTCTGCCCTCCAGCAATCTGGGCTACTCACTGACAAGGTATCCCGCCTACACTCCAGGGGCCATGGAGCCACAATCCCCGGAGCTGCCTTGCACCAACTCCCCAACCTGAGCTCTCCCTTGTTCCCAGATAATGGGCAGGTCCACCCTGTCCCACCTGATCCTTTGAAGCCAAGGGCACAGACGAAAGAGGAACAGCTCCATTTTTCCAAGGGTATGAGCCTGTGCGTGTGCTACTCAGCCAGCATCGGGGGCATCGCCACACTGACTGGCACCACACCCAACCTGGTGCTGCAAGGCCAGATCGACAAGTGAGTGACTGACAGATGGGGCGTCTGCACTCTCACTGGGGGGGAATGGGGCTTGGTGGTCACCAGGCAATGTCACACAACAGCCTACATCCCCCTGCAGGATCTTCCTCAAAAATGGCAATGTGGTGAATTTTGCCACCTGGTTCACTTTTGCCTTCCCCGCCATGATCATCTTGCTGTTGCTTGCCTGGCTGTGGCTTCAGGTCCTCTTCCTGGGGTTCAAGTAAGTGGCCGAATGGGTGAGAAAGGCCCAGGTCTTGCCCTGATCCCCTGAGAGCTTTCAGTTGGGTACTCAGATAGTTATTGTAGAAAATGATAAAATCACCATCCCAATGAGAAGGCTTCTCCTTCCCAAGGCCCCTTGGTGCACTTGGTCACCCCCCACCCCTCCACTCCCATTTGAGGTAGTTACTGGGCCAAGGGTATTATTATCCCATTTAGCAGATGAGCAAACTGAGACTTGAGGAATGGTACTAGATTTGTCAGTGCTGGGATTGAAAGCCAGGTCTGCTGCCCAGGCCAGGTTCCATTCCACAACACTCTACAGTCCTTTGGTAAGTGCTTAAGGAGAACACACTGAGCATGGTCAGGTACAAAAGCATTTGCTGTGCTCCTACTGGATGCCTGGCCCTGTGCTAGGCACTGAAAACACTAAAAGACATTAGGCACAGTCCCCATCCTTGGAGCTCACCATCTGATGGGTGATGGCATAGTGGGGCCATGACACAGGGAAGCCCAGGTGTTGTGGGAGCACAGCCCAGGAGAGTGGGGGGTTCCACAGGCCCTTGGAGGAGATGATGCCAGAACTGAATCTTGTAAAACTAGAAGTCAGCCAGGTAGAGAAGGGGGTAAAGGCATTGCAGGCATTGGGAACACCTTGTACCAATGCACAGAGGCAAGAAAGAACACAATGTGGGAGAACTCTAGTTCTGTGTGGTTGAAACATAAAGAACCGAAAGGAGTAATAGGAGAAGAAGCTGGAGAATAGGTGGGAGAAGGATTTTGGATGATTTTGTGTGCCATATAAAGAGTTAGGACCTTGTCCTTGAGTCCGAGTAGTAAATAGGTTTTATTCTTTTTTTTTCTTTTTTTTAAATATATCTTTATTGATTTCAGAGAGAAGAAAGGAGAGGGAGAGAGAGAGAAACATCAATGATGAAAGAGTCATTGATCGGCTGCCTAGCCTGCAACCCGGGCATGTGCCCTGACCTGGAATCGAACCCCGATCACCTGGATCCTAGGTCGACGCTCAGCTGCTGAGCCACGCCCGGCCGGGCCTTTTTTAAAAAAAAAAATTTTTATGGATTTCAGAGAAAGGAAGGGAGAAAGAGAGAGAGAGAGAGAGAGAAACATCAACAATGNATGAGCCACGCCCAGCCGGGCCTTTTTTTTAAAAAAAATTTTTTATGGATTTCAGAGAAAGGAAGGGAGAAAGAGAGAGAGAGAGAGAGAGAGAGAAGCATCAACAATGAGAGTCATTGATGGGCTGCCTCCTGCACACCCTCTACTGAGAGTCGAGCCCCAACCTGGGCATGCGCCCTGACTGGGAATCGAACTGTGATCTCCTGGTTCATAGGTTGACGATCAACCACTGAGCCACACTGGCCGGGTGGTTTTATTCTTACTAACAACCCTCGATTACTTGTAGTCACTAGAGTTCTGCGTTGAAAATCATGAGAACTTGCTAGGGCTCAGTAGGAATAGAGTCTGAGATTCACTAGTCATGCCCGCTATGAGTACAGGATAAGAGTGGTGACGTGAGCAGTACTGAGGTGTGAGTTATTTGCCCTTCCTGCCCAGGCACTGGGGAGCCACTGAACGTTTTTAAGCCTTGTTGCTGCACTTTGGAAAAATCACTTGGGCAGGTGTGAGGAAGATGGATTGAGGTTGGGGGCTGGTACAAGGCAAAATGGTAGTCAAAGAGACCAGCACAATGCCAGGCACCATGGGGGACTCAAAGATGTGTGAAGCATGGTCTTTGCCCTTGAGGAACTCACCATCCAACACGGGAGATGCAATTTGCCCAAGTGAAAAGTTAAAAGTCAATATGAGTTTACTAAGTAAGAGGCATATGGAAATGGGCTAAAGCCTTTTGTGCCTCTGGGGACAATGGGGCGAGGAGGGCAGGGGTGGGGGGGTTTGGCTGGCAGAGGATGCCAAGAAGCTGGTAGGAGAGGGAGGGGAGGATTTCCTGAAAAGTTGTTGAGGGAGGGGAGCAGTGAGTCAGAGCCAGAAGAAGGTATGGGGTCCAAGCTTCTAGGTCCCCCTCACCCTGGGCAAGGGAGGGCTTGGCTTAAAAGAACCCTTGGAGGGATGGGGGTCAGTGGGGCGGATGAAGCAGAGCCAAGCATGGGGAAACCTGGCCCCCAGCCGCAACCTTGTCTCTGCCTCATGACCCTCTCCCCAAGTCTGCTTTTCTTCCAGAAACTTGGGTGGACCCAGGGCCTTAGTGTAACAACTCTGAGATGGCCTCTGCAGCCCTCAGCCCTTACATCGCAGGCACTCAGAGGCCCTTGTTCCCCTGCCCAATGTGAGGCCCTCATGAGCTGCGCCTGCCCCTCTACTTGCAGCTTCCGGAAGAACTTTGGCATGGGGGAGCAGGCACAGGAGCAACAGCAGGCGGCCTTCCAAGTCATCCGAAAAGAGCACAGGCAGCTGGGCCCCATGAGCTTTGCGGAAATAGCTGTCACCATCCTCTTTGCCCTCCTGGTGCTGCTCTGGTTCACCCGGGATCCAGGCTTCTTCGTTGGCTGGGGCAGCCTGGGTTATATGGATTCCGAGGGGAAACCGTGAGCATTCTGGGGGGACGGGAATACTCCAGGGGCTTTCCTAGCTAAATGAGGAGGGAAGGGAGCAGAACAGAAGGTAACATGGGAGGGTGGGGAGGAGACACTTGCCAGGAGGGGTTGGCACATCTGTGGGAGGGCTCCTCTCCACCACCTCCTCCACCCTGCATCCCTGAGCAGCCCTGAGCCACTAAGCCTGCCCTCTCTGCCCCACCCGTAGCTTGATGTCCGATGGGACAGTGGCCATGCTCATCAGCATAATTATGTTCATCGTGCCCTCCAAGATCCCAGGGCTGACTCAGGATCCTGGTAAGCACCTGGACTGGGGCAGGGAAGGGCCTCTGGGCAGCTCCTGGTTCCAGCATAAAATGTGCCTTAGATCATATTTGGCAGGATTAGACAAAGCCCTGGGAGGTTGGTGTGACTTACCAAGGACACAGGGGCTCAGGGACAAAGTTGGGATGTTGCAGAACTTGGGTTACCCTCCTGCACACATTAAGTTCTGATAGGGACCCATACAGGAGGCCCCAACTGGAAGGGAGGGAAGGCCTGAGGACTCTTGGTGACCCATCCTCTTCTCCCTGGGGAGTAGAAAACCCAAGGAAGCTGAAGGCTCCTCCTGCCCTCCTCAACTGGAAGACAGTGAACGAGAAGATGCCCTGGAATATCGTATTCCTGCTGGGTGGTGGCTTTGCCCTGGCCGAAGGCAGTGAGGTGAGAAACCCCTGCCCGCTCCTCAGCCTGTTTGAGGGAGACCCTGTGACAGGGAAAGAGGGGTCATGCTTCAGTCCCTCACAGGGGAGACTTGATCCCACTTAGGAGCCCCCTGGTGGCAGAGCCTCTGCACCTGCCGGAGAGAGGTTAGAGTGTCGTCTGAGAAGGGGGGAAGAAACACAAGCCATAGGGATCTTTCTCTAGTTGGGTTCTCAAAGCCAAAAGGGAGGCAGGTTTCTCTGGCCAGCAGGGACTGTTCTCTGTGACCACCCACCCACCCCACCCCCTCACCCCTTCCAGACAGAGAATGCAATGTCTTTAGCACCTGAAGAGTACTTGGCTTTGGGTTGACAAGGTTAGCCTGCTGCAGCCACCAGGGGGCACTGTGATCACGCCCAGCCAGGCTCTGGGGACTAGGGCGTCATTCCCAGAGCCTCTATCCAAGAGGGAAATCTCTGAACCTGCACCCCTGGGCCTGTGTTCCCATTAAGCTCATTCACTGCACAGACAGGAGGCAGCTTCCCTGGGTCAGGGATTGGTGCTGGGGACTCCTAGGTCCGCGGTTAGTTCATCCATCAAGCATTCACCAACTGGGCCAAGCTCTGTGCTGGATGCTCGGTAGCCAGCATTGAGGCTCACAATCTAGCATTATAGACGTGGGCAGGAAAGACCTTGGAGCCCTTCTGACCCTGTGGACTGTCCCGTCCTCCTGTCAGCCTCTTCCCAGCCTCTACCAGAACCCTTCCCCACTCTCCCTGCTCTGGGACTGCTGTGTTGGAGAGTGCAGAGAGAGGGCTAAGGTTGGCCAGAGACCTCCTGAGACAGGTGGGGAGACGTCTTTACTCCCACCAAGCACCAGGTTTCCCAAGAAGGCTCTTTGGCCCCCTTTCTTAGCTTTTCATCTCACCTTTCTCCCCATATCCAACTGTTCTTCAAGAGCAGAAGAGGGGAGCCTTGGCTGGCATTCTCAGTGGTTAGAGCGTCGGCCCATACACCACATAGTCACAGGTTTGATTCCGTCAAGGACAAGTACCTGGGTTTCAGGTTCAATCCCTGCCCTGGTCAGGGTGCATGCAGGAGGCAACTAATCAATGTGTCTCTTTCACATTGATGTTTCTCTTTCTTCCCTCCTTCTCTCCCTTCCACTCTTTCTGAAAATCAATGGGGGGGGGGAAGAGAGGGGGACCCCTTGGTTCTAGCTGGGTCTTCCCTCCCAAGCTGCTCTTGATTTTGAAGAATCTAGAGAGGTGTGGACAGGAAAATGACCCTCCCAGGGCCTCAGTAGGGAATGCAGGGCCCAGGAACCCCGGCCTCTCACACATCAACCTCTTCTGCCCACAGGCATCGGGCCTGTCTGGCTGGTTGGGGGAAAAGCTGATCCCACTCCAGCGTGTGCCGCCTCCTGCCATTGTCTTCATCCTCTGCCTCATGGTTGCCACCTTCACTGAGTGCACCAGCAACGTGGCCACTACCACACTCTTCCTGCCCATCCTGGCCTCCATGGTGAGCTGGCCCTGCAGACATGCCTCCTCCAGGCAGCCCTCCTGCCCACCCCCACTCAGGGGCCCCCCCTGTAGGTCACAGTGACCTGTCTGCACCTCCTCTCATTTCCGTGACAGGACCTCTGAGCTTCTGCTCTTCTTGGGGCTCTCCAGCTACCCTGGTCCCCAAAGTCCCCTGGCCCCTGACTCACCCCGTCCCTGGTGACATCACCCCTTGAGTATCTTGATGTGGCTCACAGGTGGCCTCGCCCTCCTCCTCAGCCAAGTCCCTGTTCTGGTCATTCCTGAGGTGATGGGGTAAAATTGCTCCCTGGAGCGTCCCCAGCCCCTTCCTCCCAGGCGAGAGCGTTCCGGCAGCCTTTGATGATACCCAGGGCCCCTTTGAGATCCGTTTTATGGGCCCCTCTCCTCACCACACCCCACAGGGCAGGGCCACACAGTCATTCCCTCCAGAGAGGTCAAGGCACCCTTCCCAGGTCACCCAGTACCTCCTGGCAGAAATGGTGGGTTCATGACCAGAGTATGTGGTGGGGGTGGGGAGGGTTGTCTCTCAAAGAGGGGAAGCAAGAGGATTGGGAGCGACACCTTTCCCTCTGAGACAAGGACTGGCATCAGCTCTGCCCCGCTGTCGCCCTCTCCAGGCTCAGGCCATCTGCCTCCACCCTCTCTATGTCATGCTCCCTTGCACTCTGGCTGCCTCCCTGGCCTTCATGCTGCCTGTGGCAACCCCGCCCAATGCCATCGTCTTCTCTTTAGGAGGACTCAAAGTGTCTGACATGGTGAGTGGCAGGGGCCCCGAATGTTTCAGCACTCCTTCCTGCTCTGCCTTCCCGTCTTGGTGGTCTACGAAGTAGCATAAAACCGTTGAGATTCTCATGGTTGAGAGTGGATCTTGTCTGGGATGGGGGACACCAGGGAGGCTGGGATATGACCCCCACAGTGAGAGCATCTTTAGGCCCTGCCAGGCCCAAGCCATGTGAGAGGAAGAGGAAGGAGAGGGGAATCTAGGGAAGGTTCCAAGGGGCCAAGTAGCCACTGCCAGGGAGATGGACTCAGAGAACGAGGCCCAGGATCCTGGAAGCTCAGGAGAAGCTTCCCTTCCCCCTGTTAGCACTGGGAGTAAAGCAAGAGGCAAGGGCACTGCCTAGTGCTGCAGGTTAGATGCCAGGGAGGACTTCCCAAGGGAGAGTTTTGCTAGTGAGAGCTCCTGGGCACCTCTGGACACTGAAGGGGGGGTGCTGGCCCAACTCAGGAGCTGCTCGCTCACACTGACTCTCTGCACACCAGGCGCGAGCGGGAATCGTGCTGAACATCTTGGGCGTGCTGGTCATCATGCTGGCTATCAACAGCTGGAGCTACCCCATCTTTAACCTGCACACCTTCCCCTCCTGGGCCTACAACGCCAACACAACCCACTGCATGGCGAACACCACCACCCCTAGCCCCTAGACCGGGGTACAACCTGGCCAAGACCAGGAAGACCCAAGCCATTCCTACTCATCTGAGCCAAACAACGAGAGAAAGGCGCACGTGGACACAGCCTCACGTGTGTCTGCAAGGAAGGTGTGTGTGCACTCGATCCTGTGGGTCTAAAGAAAATGTGTATATAGTATGTTTGTGTCTGTGTGAGGATGGTGTGTCTTGCGAGGATGTCTGAGAGGGGGATTTGTGTACATGCATATGATCCTAGGTGTGTGTGCTGAACAGTGCATGTGTGTGAGTTCACAGATAATATAACATGCCCTCTCTGGTGCCCCAGGTCTTGATCTCCCCAGTTTGCTGGGTGACCAGACCCCTTTACAATGTATTTATTGAAACTCAAGATTGGGGTGGCCTGGGGAGCAGGGCCCTACCAGCAGTTGCTATGGCAACAGCCTCTGGGACCAGCCCTGCACACTGAGCTTTCCCCAGCCTCTCCGGTTTGGTTTGGGGAAAGGGCTCGAATACTAGCCACATTAAAGTCTTTTTCAGTAGAGTCTGGGATGGTTTTTCACGGCACTTTTCAGGGCTGGTCCGCCACATGGTTCAGGTCCTAGGTTGGGGATTATGGTAGGAAGGGACCTGGCCTATGTCCTGTATGGTGGCCCCCCTTGCCGTCCCTCCCACCCAAGAGAGAAGGTAATGGCCAGGAACCCCTGCCAAGGCCAATCGGAGTGGGAGCAGCCACCCAGGAAAGCAGCACTGACATCACCCGGCCTGGCTAATTGGGAGCTGCCAGTCCCTGCGTGTCTTTGGGAAAACCGGCCTCCCGGTTCCCAGAGCACTCCCTGGGTATTTACATAAAACCCTCTGCCCCTGCCAATTCCTCACCGACCCTTCCTCCAGCCAGAAAAACCAGTCCCACCAGACCAAGGGAGGCAGGTTGACCCATGCTAAGACGGACCCTCACCCAAAACAGCAGCCTGCAGGATGAAGGAGGCAGGCGAGACTCACAGCAACAGGTTCAAAACTGGCACGGCCTTCAGACTTCTGCCTCCCCACCTCACCTCCATCCCTCCTCTGCCTCCCCACCTTCATGAACTCTGAGTTCAAGTTCATGGCAAGGTGTGATGGGGATGGGGAAGGGTGATACCACACCCCTCATCCATTCTGGGAGCTCAACATTTCTTCCCGGCTGGAAGTTCATCTTTGTACCAATCCTAAGTCCCTCATCGTGGACAGTGGCATGTAAGCCTTGAGTTCATTAGATGGAAATTTCCAAAAATCTCATCCAGTTCCCTCCTGCTGCAGTGGGAGGAAAAAAAGATATTTACCATCACTCTCATGCCCAATAAAAAAGAGGGCTGAGTTGTGAAGAGAGAAAACCAGAAAGGATTTCATTCTGGATTCCCTCTGGTCTGGGCCTTCATTCAGTGCTCCTAGAGCTGGGGGTTCAAGGGTGGTGGGCAGGCGCAGATGGGAGGGGGCTATTGCATGAGGGAAACCATGGCTGTCCCCAGGGGACAGGGGATCCTGACAGGACATGCCAGACATCCAGCAGAGTGAGGAGTGTCAAGTGAGTGACTCCACCCCCACCCCAGCCCCCCAGGCTGGCATTCCTCATTTATGAAGCACATCATAAATCATGGCTCCCACCCAGCCCCACACTGAGACCCCCACAAGGCCCCAGGCAAAGCCCCCCCACCATTGGGAATGGGCCAAACCTAGAATGGTGGGACTCCTCCAGCGGCTTACCCACAGTGCAATAGCCTCCTAAGGAGCAGCCCCAGCCCCATCTGCAAGTAGGACCCTCTGCTACCACTTTCTTCTAGACCCTGGTTGGGTACCCTGATCCAGCCCTGGCTGGGGAGGAGGTGGGTGTGCTTCTCAGGGGCACATGCCCCATCCACTGTTATCCGCTCCCCTTTGTACCCCCCCCTTCACTTCTTCCCTCAGTCCTGCTCAGAGAGGGTGAGATGTGGGCTAAGGTCACACAGCAGTCCCAGGGGATAGAGACTGAGCTGGCCCTGCCTTCTCCAGGAAGGAAGTAGAGGAAAGCTGGCTGGGGGTTGAGGGGTCAGCCGTGGGGGGTGCCCTGGCAGAGCTTGGGGGCCAGGCCTCCCCCAGGTGCTCAGAAACCATCCCCCTCAGCAGGTGGGAGGGCGGACAAGAGGCAGGTGGCACCTGTTGGCCTAATCATCGTCATTAGCTGGGCAATAAAGCGGCACGGATCTGGCCAGCCTTTGAAGGAAGAGCCTGTCAGCCCAGGTCAGGTTCGTGTAATCAGCCTAGCAGCTCGGCCCTCCTGCACACATACTCCGGGCTGTGGCAGGTGGATGGGGTAATCCTGGGACTAGGGTCTGTGTCTTCCCTGCCTGGGCACCCACACCCCTTCATTCATGGCTTCCAGAAAAGTATCGAGGTGCTTTGGATGTCTCCTACCAACTGACTTTGTGCAGTGCTGGGACTCAAGACCTGCTATGGTAGTGAGCTCCTCATTGCTGGAGGAGATCAACAAGGCCAGAAACAACTTGAAGACGGTCTGCCTGCTGCAGCTGTGTTCTCTGCTCCTAGCACAGCACCTGGCACAGTTACTGTTGTATAAATGAATGAATGTATTAGAAGCACAGGGGGCTTCTTGCTCCTGGAGGAAAGTTGGACATGCTGCCCTCAGAGCCCCATTCCAGACTGCTATGTATGGAGCCCTGGGTGGCCTCTCTGAGCCAATGTCATCTTAGGCTCAGCGTAGGTCCAAACTGTTTGCCTGCTCCTACTGTTTGCCCCTGGGCCTATCCCCTGGGGCCTTGGGAGTGGCCCTGGTTGCCTCCTGCTGGCCAGCACCGTCCCAAGGCAACTGTGGCAGCCAGAGTGCCCAGAGAAAAGATATCAAGCCAAGTGTTTCAAGGCAGGTGAAAAGGGGCACTTGTCATGAGATGGAGAAGGTGGGAGCAGGGCTATTGATCCCATTCTCTGGATTTGCCTTGACTTGGGCTTAGGTGAAGGGCAGCTCTAGGGTTTACAACGCCAGAGTAGGCCCCTTGGGGACTCAGGCCATAACTTGCCTGTCTCCCCAAAGTCTCAGAAGGGAGGCTGCTCCCTGAAGAGGGAGCGGTGAGCTGTGTGGGACTGAAGGTGGTGCAGCCATGGGGTTCAGGGTGAGGGGTGGAGTAGGAATGGGATGAGTGAGGTTCTGATGGGGGCCAGCCTGAGGAGGGTGCCCCCTACAGCCTCCATCCCAGTCTGGGCCCCATTAGTCATGATCAGCAGAGCCACGAGGCTTTACTAGGGCAGGGAGTCTGAGGGTCTCCAAAAGGGTTAGCCCTCACCCTCAGGCACGGGGGCGGGGAGAGGAGGGAACATGGAGGTGGGGGAAGGGAACAGAGCAGCCTGACTGGAAAGATTGTGACAGGGAAGAGTTGCTCTTAAGTGTGGAAGATCCACAAACATGTATATACAGAGCTATGAATCCTTAGGTACACATAGAACGACTCACAGACACAAGCACAGACATGGATACCTGCAGACACACAGTTACACACACACATAGACACTGGTGTGTATACAGTTATTCACAGGCACTCCCAGCCCTTCAAACACCCAGAGTCATTCACTCACACACAGACACACAGACACACACACATTGAGACACAGATTCTGATGTAGACACGCCCAGCATCACATTATAGCTCCACAACTTAACTGCACACCCATGATGGCACGTGTGAGCCTGAGAACAGACATGTAAATACGCACACACTCACACACAGTGAACACACACACCCTGGAACTGCTTCTCCCCACCTCCACGACCGTGCCTCCCAGTAGCAGGAGAGATTAAGACAAGACAGGAGAAGCCTGCCCTCCCCACCCAGCAGGACTCTAGCTATGTCCCTCCCCACCGGACACCCCCACCAAGCTCTTGGCTTGGAAACTCCCTGGATTTCCCAGAGGGTCAGCCAACCAGAACAGGCTCAGATCTCCCAACCCAGCGCCCCTGCCACACACCCTCCACAGCTCTGGCCAGCACTCCTCCATCATCCACAGCCAAGGAGCTGCCTGGTCTCCCCCAGAAGCCCATCCTAATTAATCCCAGACCTCTCCAACCCTTCTTTACATGGGGTCCTCAGGCCTCAGGGCCTCATGGCAGCAATGCTTGGGCCCAGAGCCTCCACAGATGTTCCTAAGTGTCTTCCGTGCCAGTGGAGTGAGATGGAAGGCCTGAGAAGTGGCAGGTCCGGTCTTGGAAACCCACGTAGGAAGACAAGTCTGGTTCACAGTGAGCAGAAGTAGACAGAAGATGACCAATTCTAATGTGGGGTGCAGGGAGGGGGCCCTCACCAGAACTGGGGCTCCCAAGGGCGAGAACATGCTCTTCCTTCTCCTTGGAGTCACCAGAGTCTTGCCTCAGACTGGAGCATGGCAGACACTGGCCGCAGAGATTTCCATCCCTAGTCAGGGCTGCTACTAGCTCCAAGCAGCCCAACCCTAGGCAGAGCTCAGCAGCAGACAGTGAAGCAGTTCTGCCCTTCAGGCTCCAGAAAGACAGAGCTTCCCCCTGCCCCAGTGTGTTTAACTAGCTCCAGCCACATACAGTCCATCCAGGCCAGAGCCCAGCTCAGCTACAGCTGCAGGCCCTGAAGTTAGGGTGCGGGAGTGTGTGGGACCAGACCTCCAGACAGAAGTCCCTTCCCAGGGGAGCAGAGCCAGCATGACAGCAACTAGAGTTGAAGCTAAACACCAGGACAGACTTTCTGGATCTAGGAGAGAATTCTGAGGGGCCGGTATGATAAGAGGAGAGGATGGTTCCGCCTGGGGGCAGGTAATGAGGAGAAGAACCTCACCAATCCCCTTTCATTCCAAGATTCTCTGGAATTCCTGAGGCTCCTGCTTCAACTCCCAGACTGCATGCAATGAGGAAATAGTGTTTCCCAAAGGAAAGAGGGAGCCAGAGTCCGCACCCATTCCCGGGGCAGAGGTGGATCCTGTCTCAGGAGAGAAAGGAGTTCATCTCACCCATCAGAAGCAGAGTT